ATTCTGCCTTGACCCTTTGGCAAGTTTTGTGAAGGATTTTCCCACCCCTCCTCCTGCAATAGAAAACTTTTTTTTTTTTTCTTTTTTGATCCTGGGGATTGAATCCAGGGGTACTTTACCACTGATCTACATTTCTAGCCTTTTCATTTTTAAATTTTGAAACAAGGTCTTGCTAAGTTGTTGAGGGTCTTCTTAAATTGCTGAGGCTGACCTCAAACTTGAGATCCTCCAGCCTCTTCAGCCTCCCTAGTTGCTGGGATTACGGGCATGTGCCACCATACCAGACAGCAACAGGAAACTTTTAATGGTATTTACATAAGATTGTGGGCCCAATCTTTCTTTCCTCTTTCCCAAGGGTAGATAGTCTTTTCTTTACCTTTCCCCTAGCAATGAGTTTTTACCTGTACCCTGGATGCATTAGATATGCAGCCCCCTGTTGGGTGGCTTAAGGCTTTTTTTCTTATAGACAATGGGTCAAAACAGGGTCTCCTCTGTCTGGAACTGATAGCCACCTAGGCCTTACCAATGAAGGAGATTCTTTCCATTCTCTTGCCCTCCCCTAATTTTTCTCTAAAGATCTGTGGGGAGGAAGCCCACAAGTGGCTATAAATTCCCTTGTATCTGTAACTTCCAATGCGTCTACCTATATACTGGACCTTTGGCAACCCCCTAAGAGAGTTTAGCCAAACGCTTCTTGTCTGCTTGGCTGGTGCCCAACCTCTCTTCCTGTGACTGTGTTCTGGCACAGGTGAGACAGTACTTGTATTCCTTCTTCTGGAGAACTCTGCTTTTCTTTGGACTTTAGCCTACTTAAGTTTTTATGTCATAAGTATTATAAGCCCTCTGATGAGTTTAAGAAATGTTATGATTTTGTGGTTTATCTAATATTTTATTATAATTAGAGTAGCAGTGATACTCTTCCACTTTCCTCATCCTGGGCAGAAACAAAATTCCCAAATTCAGCAACATTTCAAAGGGAATTTCTTTTTTGCTAATCAATAATAATTTGTAGAAGACACATTTATTCAGATAATGCTTGTTAAACATTTAAATTTATGGGTTTTTTTTCATAGACATTAGTAGGTACCACCATCCACCCCTCTCTCAGACATTTCTTTTCTTTTTTACTTATTTTTTCTTGTAGTTCTAGGAATAAAACCCTGGCCTCATGCTTGCTAACCACTGAGCAAAACTCCCTGCTCCCCCACATTACATTTTTTGAAATCACTATCATACCTAATACTAAAACCAAAAAACAAAACAAACTTAGAACATTTAGCTATAGTTTTGAAATTATTAAGATTAATTATAATTCTGATAGTTATTGGGATTTAGCCATATTTAAAAATACAAAGGCAAAAACTCTATCACTTTATTAAAGAACAAAAATGATTTATTTGCATACATGGTCAGAAATAGCTTCTGCAAAGAATAAGCTTTGAATTTCCTAATTCTTACATATTTAAAGTTATAATCATAGTATGTGAGGTAGGAAGATGGTAAGGTGGCTAGGCATTGAACTCAATATATAATGCTAAAAAACATTCATAATTCTCGTTTCCCACAAAAACATAAACTGATATTGATTAATTACTACAATTACATCTATTGTTTTTAGTGTTTATACACACACACACACACACACACACACACACATTCTGAACAACATAGTCTATGAATAAGAAAACTAAAAATTACTATGACTTTGACAATCCAATACAATCCGTCTTAGCATTTAACCATAAAACATATGATCTAATTTTTTTCTCATTATTGTATAGTATGTTTGACTTTCTAATTATTATTTATCATGATAGTTTTAAACTTTTCAGAGAGAACCTAAAAGAGGAAAGTATTTTTTTTAAAACAAACTATTTCAAACTGGGTACTGTTGCACATGCTTGTAATCCCAGCTAGTTGAGAGGCTGAGGCAGGAAGATCACAAAATCAAGGTCAACCTGGGCAACTTAGTGAGATTCTGTCTCAAAAATTTAAATTAAAATTTAAAAAGGGCTGGGGATGAGCTACTGGGCTACATCCCCAGTAGCTCAGTGGTAGTGGGGAAAAAAAGTGAGCTATTTTAACATACCACTTTATCGAATTTAGTTCTTGTGTTCATCCAAACTGATTTCAAAGTAGTCTCACTTGTACTGAAAATAGCTAACTTGCACAGTTAAAGGGAAAATAATAGAAATGAAAACCACTTTCTCAGAAGTTGCTTTCACTAAAAAATAGTTAGACACATTCATCAGTATATATAATCAGATAAGTGGTATCATGTAGTCAAAAACATACCCTATGAATTCAATACCAAATGAAACAACCTTTTTCCAAAGATGTCATCTGTGAGAATAATCAATTCAATTTGTCTCTTTTATATTAAAATATGAAAGTAATAGCTAAGGAGGGGAAAATTTAAAAAACAAGGATATTGCAGATTTCTTAGCAGCATAGTGTTAGAATCTATGTTCTACCATAGCCTCAATTTTCAATGAATGAACATTAAAAAAAGGTGCTATTTCTAGTAAACTGCTTTGATTTTTTATATTTGCATATTAAGCTACTATACATTTCAAAGTAAAGTACATGATACTTCCCCCTGAAATAATTTGGGGTTCAAGTATTCTTAGAAACATTTATCTCCCAGAAAAGATGTGGTTTTGATTCCCTGGTGATAGGATGAATTTCCTTATCTTCAAGGCCTCTGAGTGTAAGAGATAGGATTGAATTTCTTCAAGGTCACCCCAAGTCCTGAGAGCCTTAGAGGATTATTTTGGCACTCTGGCTTTCTATTCTCTGAAATATTTGGCAAAGTCTCAGAATTTCATTAGAAAAGAAAAAAAAAACATAAAATTTATGGGAAAAAGTCATAACTGTCTGCATTTGCCAAGGCAATTATATCCATTCAAGAAATATTCAGTCTAGAGATATATATCAACTACAGAGTGAAAGACTTGGCTTCTATTTAAAATACTCTATTTATAACCCATTGGGTTTTTATGTGTCTTAGTTGAGGCTGAAATAGGTCTGCTCTCCTAACTTTTGAATTAGATGTAATATTAAATGCAAAAAAAATTAAACATATTAAGTCTAACAGTTGTAAACTTTCTCCTACTGGCTAATTTCTAGGTTTCTTTTATTTTTCTTATGACTTGTTTACCTATTAAATGTCAACTGGACATTACTTAATGGCATTGCTGTAAGTCAACAAAAATGTAAATATTGCCATCCTGTGGTGAAACATTCACATAAAGTGAAACTGAAAACATCGTCACTTTCCTAAAGACAGTAAAATCCTACCAAAGTTACCTTCCTATGAGCTAAATCAGTTGTTTTATTAGGTAAAATGTCCCTCAAGAAAATACAATTCATTTATAACTAAGAAATTCTTTCTTTCTTTTTACCAAGTACTGGGAATTAAACCCAGAACCTTGTTCATAGTTCAGGCGGAACTCTTCTCCTGTCTAAGCCTCCTGAGGAGCTGGGATTATACTGAGTCCAGCCAAAATGTTTTTTAAAAAAATTAAACTAGCCAGGCGTGGCAGCACATGCCTATAATCCCAGAAGTTCGGGAGACTAAGGAAGAGGTTTATTACAAGTTCAAAGTCAGCCTCAACAACTTAGCAAGGCCCTGGAAAACTTAATGAGATCTTGTCTCAAAATAAAAAAAGAGCTGGGGATACAGCTCAGTGGTTGTGTGCTTGGATTCAATCTCCAGTACCAAAAAGAAAAAAGAAAAAAACTAAATGAACTACACTGACAATTAACGGCAATAGCACTCAGTAGAAGGGATATCAAATCAGTCATGTTATTACCTTAAGAATATTTATTTGCTCATATATATAATATACTGCCATGATTAATTTCTAAATCACCACAAGAAATTCTTATAGGCAATTTTTCATATGATTCTAAAATAAAATTTACCACTTATGTATCATGGGTAGGTTAAAAGTGTTCAAGTGTTCTGAAAAGTTGGATTAAGAGAGTAACAAAAAAATGGAAGAGTTAAAGCCTAAATTTCATATGGCATAACCCTATTTTTTATTGTTGTTGTTGTGCTAGGTTCAACCCAGGGTCTCTCAAACAATAGGCAAGTGCTCTACCACTGACCCTCAGCCCCAGGATAATCCTAATAACCACCTTGGGCACTTCTCTCATTTAGGTCCATAGCTATATTTATAATTATACTGGCATTCAATAATATGCATTCATTCATATATTATAACATTAAATAAAAATTAGCTATAGAAAAAAACACCCCATTACTCATAAAAGCAAGAAAAAATTATTCAATTATTCAAAATATTCCTAACACTTCTTCCTGGATTATAGACAAAAAGTTTTTAAACAAAAGTGATATTAATTTCTACTCCAAATTTCAATGTCGGTTATATAAAATACAAAAGACCAAGAAGCAAGAAGGCAAAAAAAAAAAAAAAAGCACAAAAATCTCACAGAAACATAAAAACAATGTCAAAATGCTTCAGTGCTAATTTGTGGAGTTACACAATTTTGATACTACAATAATACAGAAAACTGCATCCACATGATAATAGCATGTAATATGAGAATCATTTGTTGTTGCTGTTGTTATACTTAGTTGACATCACTACACAACACAAAATGTCCTTTCTACAGCCATGATTCCTGCCTTAAATGTATTATAATTTAAGACAGACAACTATGATATATAGATTTATGTCTAATTATAAAGACCCTGACATTTAGTTATATAAAAACCAAAAGTTAACATTCAAGGAAAACATTAACTAAGAGTTTTAAAAATCAAATAGAAATAGTGTTTACTGGTAAAAAGAATTAACAAATTTATAGTAAAATACAAGATTCTTCATCCAAACAGACAAAATGAGGGAAAAAATTATCCTAGAAATAAGAGTAAGATATATGTAAAAGAAAAGAACTCTCAGGATATATCTGTTCACTATTAGGACAAGTATCAAATTTATATTATTACCTATTTTAAAAACAATTCTTACCTTGTGGTGAAAGTGTAATATCAGATTTACTTCTCACATGTATTAAACGACTTTTTACTGGCTTGTGTTCAACTTCTTTAACATCCTCATCCTGTTTTTGTTGGTACTAAAGAATTTAAGACATAAAGTCACAATATTATTTTTTTAAATTAAAATCTGAGCAGTTATTCAGGTGTTTATTATAAAAATTTTTAAAAATATGCTTGCTTTAAAATTACCTTTTAATCATTTTGTTATTTATTAGCACTTCTAACAAATGAGTGATCGAGTACATTTTTTTCTTTTTTCCTATTCTTGCAGTGCTGGGGATAGAACCCAGGATTTCACACATGCTAGGCAAGTGCTCTGTCCCTGATCTACATACTCAACCTATCAGTACATATTTTTAATGTTTTTATTAGTGCATCATACAAAATAGTGGGGTTCACTTTGACATAATCATATAGCATGGAATATAATTTGCTCCATTTCAGTCCCCAGTACTTATTTAATTTTTTTTTAAAAAAGAGAAAAAAAAAAACCTTTAAAAGATTTCAATAATATACATGATTTCAATTATTTTAAGCCATTTCTTACAATTTCTATTAGAGAATTTAGAGCTACTTATAAAGCAAACCAGTCTAGATTTATACACACATGATGGAGTTAGAATAAGAACTTAATTTGGCTGTAAGCTCTTCCACATAACCACTTTTGCATAAAATGAAAATTTACATAATGCACTGCAATTTTCAAAGAGCTTTTATATATAGTAACATAATTTAATTCTCAAAGTGTGAGGAGGGATTGTTATCCTCCATTTGCCATTCAAAGAATGTATGCTCCACCATAAGCCCCATAGTCTTTCTTTTTTACCCATACTTAAGCAAATCTGAATTTACAAGAGTCACAAATTTCTTCACAATCAACTTCATAAACTGTGATAACTTTAGCCAATTACTTTCCTTTCCTGTTTTATAGCTTAATTATGAATGGGTTCTAAAACAAATAGCAGATATACTTTAATAGAACTTTAAAAAAGACATCCCTGGACACTTATCAATAACTACAACCATAGACTCTGAAACACCTGTCTACATATACTCAAGAGAGAGAGAGAGAGAGAGAACTCAAAAGCACTGACAGGCACATCTTCATCTAGAGGTAAAAATGAGCAGCTTTAGATTAGAGTAATAACAACTAGCCTTAACTCTGGTCTTGAAGTTTAGAGTCACTAGTCATGTAGCTTTCTGTCTTGAATGAAATACTACTTTGGTGTGTATTTCTAAGACAGGTACTATCTTAACTCTGGTCTTGAAGTTTAGAGTCACTAGTCATGTAGCTTTCTGTCTTGAATGAAATACTACTTTGGTGTGTATTTCTAAGACAGGTACTATGGCTTGAGCATCCCTAATTCAAAAATTCCAAATCTGAAATACTTCAAAATCCCTAACTCTTTGGCACCAACATGAATGCCTCAAGTGGAAAATTCTATATATCTGAGAGCTCACATGGAAGGTCACAGCCAAAATGTAGGTGCACTAAAAATATTGTATAAAGTTACCTTCAGGCTGTATGTATAAAATGTATATGAAGTATAAATGAATTTTGTGTTTAGACTTGAGTCCCATCCCCAAGATATCTCATTATGCATATGCCATATGCTTCAATCCCAAAAACAGAGACATGAAATCTGAAACACTCTGGTTGTAAGCATCTTGGATATGGGATTCTCAATCTGTAACTATCTTAGACTCTGACTTAGAACCTTCTTGTTGGTTCCTTTCCTTTACCACAGCAAATAAGAGTGGTGTTGTGGAACTGCGCTACCTGTGTTCAAATCTGGCTCAGCCATTTTCTATTTTTGGCTTTGAACAAATTATGTAACTCTTCAAAGCCGAACAAATTATGTAACTCTTCAATACTTCAATTTCCTCATTCATAACAGGAAGATAACAACTACCTCTCATTACTTTGTTATAAGGATTAAATGAGTTAAAACACATAAAGAATTTATGACAGAATCTGGCTAAGTAAGTACTATAAATAAGTGTGCTGCTGTTAACAGTACTAAGAAATCTTAGGTAAAGACATTTAATGAAGGAATTTTTTGAGGTCTACTCTTCTGGTAACACTTCATGGTCTTACTGTAAAATAGACCAATAGTTAGAGGCAAGCAATCTTTCTTTTTAAACAGCTTTTTTGAGGTGTAAGTAATAGACAATAAACTGCATATATTTAAAATGAACAACTTACTAAGTTCTAGCATATATGTATGTATGTATGTATGTACCCATTCCATGAAACCATCACCACAACCAAGATAATATAATGACCACATTCATCAATCTCAAATTTTCTAATACCCCTTTGTATTTATTCATTCCCATTTGCCCTGTCCACCTCTACTTCTCACCACCCAAGGCAAAAACTGAAATACTTTCTATTACTACAGAGTAGTTTGAATTTTCTAGAATTTTATATAAATAAAATTGTATAACATAATTATTATGGGGGATTGGTTTTTTAAACTCAACATAATTTTTGCAAGCATCAACCACAGAGCCACCTATGATGGCACACACTGTTAATCCCAGGGACTCAGGAGACTGAGGCAGGAGGATTACCAGTTCAAAGCCAGTCTCAGCAACTCAGCAAAGCCCTAAGTAACTTAGTAGGAAGCCGTCTCAAAATTAAAAATTTTTAAAAGGACTGGGGATGGGGTGCAGTGGTTAAGCACCCCTGGGTTTCCCAGTCTAACACCAATGTCTATCAAATGCTAATGGATAAATTGTGTTATATTCTGTACAATGTAATAGTCAGCAAGAAAATAAAAATAAAATGAACTATTGATATATAAAATAATGCAGTGATTCTTTTTGGGGGTGGGTACTGGGGAGTGAACCTAGGGGTGCTTTACCTCTAAGCTATATTCCTAGAACTTTTTAATTTATTTTTTGAGACAGTATCCTACTAAATTGCTAACGGTCTCACTAATTTGCTGAAGCTGGCTTAGAACTTTCTATTCTTCTGTCTCAGCATCCTGAGTAGCTGGGATTACTGGTATGCACAACCATGCCTGGTTCACATGATAGTCTTTTAAGTGTTAGATTTCTATTGAGTGTGCACAGTGGTATCTCATTGTGGTTTGCATTTTCCTAATTACTAACAATATTGAGAATCTTTTTTTTTTTTGTATCAAGGATTGAACCCAGGGGCTCTTAACCACTGAGCTACATCCCAGTCTTTTAAAATATTTTCTTTAGAGACAGGGTTTCACTGAGTTGCTTAGGACTTTGCTAAGTTGCTGAGGCTGGCTTTGAACTGGCAATCCTCCTGTCTCAGCCGCCCAAGCCACTGGGATTACAAGCATACACCACCACACTCAGTTTGAGAATCTTTTTATGTGCTTATTTGCCATTTATCTATCTTCTTTAGATAAAGTATCTGTCCAAATCTTGTCTATTTTTTAGTTGAATTGTTTGTTTTCTTAATATTCAGTTCTGTGAGTTCCTTATACATTGAGTTTCTTATGTACTCTTATATAAATCTTTTAGAAGATAAATGCTCTGCAAATACTTCCTCTCCTTCTGTGGTCTGTCTTTTCAGTCTCCTAATACTGTGTTTGGAGGAGCAGAAGTTCTTAATTTTGATAAGACCAATTTTTTAATTTGCTTTTTCATGGATAGTGCTTTGGGTACATATCTATTTTTTCCTTAATAATGATCACAAAATTTTTCCTTTATACATAAGTTATTAACAGACATTTATTCATAATTAACAAGTTTTTCCTGATCCTTGCTTGGTCACATGTAAGCAATACTGAACCCTATATAATGGTATGTTCTATAAATAATCTATTTTTTAAATTTTCTTCCTTAACACAATGAAATACTGCTCAAATAACATGCAATGAATATTTGCTGATATAAATTAATCCACAATAAGAAATAAACTGCCAATACATGAATTCAAAACTGTATTTAATAACATGAGCTTTTATGGATTACTGTCTTAGAGAAGGTAGCCTTTTTTTTCAGTACACACAATTTCAAGGAACACTGGCTTCGATTATTATGAAATTTCATATTTTTTCATGAAATATATTTTGCAAATTTTCATGAAATAAACATCTATAGAGTACCCACTATGTACAAATTACTGAACTAGGTATGGAGATACAGGAATGTGAGTGATAATAGCTACCTAACTAGATGTCACATTTCTATATCTATTATTTTTAATCTTTAACTTAAAGATAAGAAAATTTAGACTTAGAACAGGCTAAGTAATGTGTTCAAGGGCACAGCTAGATTTTGGCTGAGCTAAGATTTATATGCAGGCTTGAGTTAGCAAATAAGAGAGGCATGATTTGAACCCAACTGACTACAGAGATTGTTTTTGACAGTATACCATGCAAAGATAATATTGTCACAATTCTCATTTTAAATAAAAAAATATTCTTAATTTGGTACCTGAGAAAAATCTTCAGCTGCCTCCTGTAAATTAACATCATTTTTTTGTGTTGTCAAAAGTGTTGTGGGAAGGACGAGGTTAGTATTTGGCTGCAACTCCAGCTCTCCCAAACTCATTGGACCATGACTAGCACATGAATCTTCATAAATACCACCTATTACCAAACATGTAAAACAAAAATTAAAAGTCAAATTTATCTTAGAAAAAGAACAAGTGATTGACTAAAACTACCAATATTTCTTACCTACTGAATTAGAAATAGCAGTGTACTTCAACCAAAACCACCTGGTTATCAAGGGTAAAACCAAAACTCAAAGACAATGCAAAAAATACCTATGTTCAAACAAATGCATGGAATAGTCTAAGTAAGGTTCCAATTAATAAGTCACCCATGCAGTTCCTCCTACTCCTCTCCTCACATACCAATTTCTAATATTCCTTCTTACCTTTCTATCACTAAGAGTTAATATAGTATTTTCTATCTAAAATGTAATCTTAAAGCAAAGGGCAATACCCCTTTTTTCAATAAATGTTAATCTACTAACATACAAAAGTAATAGTTTTTCTATCTGCCTACAGCTTGATAGATGTTCCTTCTCCTCCATTTTAATAAATTTTATAGAAATTTTGTTTTCAAATTCTGAAAATGATTTTTCTCCATGTGCTTGAAAGACAAAAGGCAATTTCTTGTCTAGAAAAAGGTTATATTTTTCTACAAATTATCAAGCTCCTTTTTCTCATCTAAATAGCATCTCAATCAAAATGATAAAAAGAAGAAAATAAAGAGCAGAGTCTGATAATAATATCATTATAAACTTGTATTGCACTTTATACTTCATATACATTATTTCATTTAATTTGAACTTCACAATCATTCTGTAAGATAGGCAGGCCAGAGACTGTCTTTCACTGATAAAGCTGTCTTTCACTGATAAAACTAAAGTTTATTGAAGTCTAAAACTCAGAAAGCTAGCAAGAGGCACAGAGGAATTAAAACCTACATCTTCCAACTTCTAATCACTGCTCTTTATTTCATGTTCTTCCTAAAATATTTCTAAGAAACTTTCATTTTTTCTAATTAATAGCCACCTTTTAAATACTGCAACGTTTAATATACCTCATTTTTTTTAAAGAGAGAGAGAGAGAATTTTTTTTAATATTTACGTTTTTTAGTTTTTCAGCGGACACAACATCTTTGTTTGTATGTGGTGCTGAGGATCGAACCCGGGCTGCACGCACGCCAGGCGAGCGCGCTACGGCTTGAGCCACATCCCCAGCCCTAATATACCTCATTTTAACCGACAGAAATAGACTTGAAAAGTCACACATAAACTAAATTGTTTTAAATGAAATAATACATTAAAGACACAATAAATATTTTCCACTTAAAGACAAATTGGAATTACACAAGTGACAATTTCCTAAGTATAGAAAATAATCATACTCTGATCTTTTATGTTAATCAAGATTTTAAAGGAGAATTTGAGTAAATGTAAAATGTGTCTGTTGAGTTTTATAGTATTAATTCATACAAAACAACTCATGAAAACTATGACCTCATTTTATTCTCTAGTATAAGATTAATTTAAATAATGATAATAATACCATAACTTAGAATAACCAATGTTCCTGGCCTTATATTTGCTTCTTTACATTCTGACACATCTTTTTCTATTCCTATGTCACTTGTCTAACATTTTCCTATGATTGTCAAAGAAACTGAGAAGAATTAGTACATATAATGTTGAAGGAGAAGACATTAAAAACTTATTTGCTGACAATATGGCATATACCTAGAAACTCTAGTGAGGAAAAAGAACTCTATTAAAATTCATAAAAGAACTTGGTAACATAACCGGTACTAGGTAAACATCCAAAAATGATTAGTTTTTATTTTTATTATACCGGTAAGTATTTAGAAATTGAAAAAAAAATTCCTTACTATAGAACAAAAACTATAAAATAATTATTAAATTATAAAACAACCAAGAATAAAATATAATTACAAAATATTTAAATTATAAAAAAATAAAGGCTAAAATTTTAAAAGGCACAGAATCCATATGAGGAAAATTTATGAAATCTTATTGAAGGGCAAAATCTATTATTGAAAAATTTAAAATAAATCTCAGAAAATTAGAAAAAGATCTGAACAAATAGTAAGATATACTAAATTGTCAGTACTTCTAAAACATAAGTTAGTTTAATTCCAAATTTGGGTAATTTTTGGCTGGATAAAATTCTTTTGAATTTACATGGAAAAATAAGTATCTGGAAATTGTCAAGAAAAGTATGAAAATGAAAAAAAAAAATGGAAGACCTGCCTTATCGGATAATAAAATATACCATAAAGTCAAAAGAGTTTAATCAATGGTTTAGATCATAAATAATCTTGAATTCTTACAGTGAATAATCCAGAAAAATACCCTTATATTTATGAGAATTTAATAGCAAACTGATATTTCAATTCAGTTAGAAAAAGATAGCTCAAATAATTGATGCTGATACAAATGGCTATTTATCTGAAAAAAAAAAAAATCAAACTAGATTTTTCTTTCTTTCTTTCTTTATTTTTTTAATACCAGGAATTGAACCCAGGGGCTCTTAATCACTGAGCTACATCCCCAGACAAGGTCTCACTAAGCTGCTTAGGCCCTTGTTAAGTTGCTGAGGCTGGCTCTGAACTTACGATACTCCTGCCTCAGCCTCCTGAGCCTCTGAGATTACAGGTGTGTGCCACTGTGCCCAGCTCCAATTGGATTTCTATTTTATAACATTTACAAAACAAATTCCAGATAAACTTTAACATAAATATATACTTAATAATTAAATACTGCACATACAAAAACCTAAAAAACTGCAGGTATAAGCTTGTGTTAGCAGAAACCTAACTAAACTATAAAAACAAAGTATAGGCTGGCATCCCTAATCCAGAATATCTGAAATCTAAAGTGCTCCAAAATCTCATACTTCTTAAGCACCAACATGACACAACAAATGGAATTTCTACACCTGACCTCATGTGACAGGTTTCAGTCAAAATGAAAATGCTTCTAAGGTCAGGCAAGGCCCAGGAGAATTACAAATTCAAGGTTAGGAGGCTGAGCAGGAGGACTGCAAGTTTAGGACCATCCTGGGCAATTTAGCAAGATCCTGTCTCAAAATAAAATGAAAAGGGCTAGGGGTGAAGCTAGCATGCATGAAGCTCTGGGTTCCATCCCCAACACCATGGGGAAAAGAAATGAAAAAAAAATGCACTGAAAATATTGCACAAAATTATCTTCAGGCTATGTATATGAGGTATGTATGAAATATAAATTGTGTATTTAGACTGGGTCCTATCCTCAAGATATCTCATTATATAAATGCAAGTATTCTGAAATTTGGAAAAAAATCTGAAATCCAAAACACTTCTGATCTCAAGCATTTAAGGTAAGGGATATTTGAACTGCATAAAAGATAGACATATCAGTTGTATAAAAAATTTTATTATATGGCAAAAAAAAAATCATAAACAATGTCAATGAACAAAATATAAACCTGGAAAAAGATATCTGTAATACAGATAATAGAAACAGATTTAAAAGTTACTAGGAAAATTTAGAACTTAACAAATGGGAAAAGAACTTAATAAGAGTAAATACAGGGGTTGTGGCTTATGGTAGATCGCTTGCCCAGCATGTATGAGGCACTAGGTTAGATCCTCAGCACCACATAAAAAAATAAATAAATAAAGGTATTGTGTCCATCTACAACTAAAAAATGCTTTAATAAAAAAAAAAAGATGGGCTGGGGATGTGGCTCAAGCAGTAGTGCACTTGCCTGACATGCGCGGGGCGCTGGGTTTGATCCTCAGCACCACATAAAAATAAAATAAAGATGTTGTGTCCACCAAAAACTAAAAATTAAATATTAAAAAACTCTCTCTCTCTCTCTTTAAAAAAAAAAAAAAAGAGTAAATACAAATGACTCGCCAGTAGTCAGATACATGTTTTTATCTGTCAAATGACAAAAGTTACAAACACAATTTCAGGAGGGAATTCAGGGAAAAGGCTCTAATAAATTGCCTATAAAAGTAAATTGGCTTTAACTTTTAAGAAAGCAACTTGGCATTATTTGTTTTTAACTTTTTAAAAACTTTTCTTTAGTTTTAGATAGACACAATACCTTCATTTATTTTTATGTGGTGCTGAAGATTGAACCCAGTGCCCCATACACGTAATTCTTGTGCTCTACCACTGAGCTACAACCCTAGCCCCTATTTTTAAATTAAAACTATATTTGCCCTTGGATCCAGTAATTACTTTTGGAAGCTATTCTATCAGTATAAAATGCAACAACTTACTATATAAGTGTTTGTGGACATTTATTCTAGAATTGTTAATAGCAGAGGAAAATAGTAATAAAGTAAATATTAATCAACAGAGAAATACTAAATAAATTACTTGAAATCTACATCCTGGAATTTTATATAATCATCGAGTTTAATTATAACAACTGACCTGGAGTAATCTATAGGGTTTCCTGGGGTAAACAAAATGCAGGCAAGTGAAAAATACTGGCTATATGTATTGTTTGTGTGTTTGTAGGTGCATGTGCACATATGTGCATACATAATTATGTGTGTAAGGAAAAAACCAGCAAAGTTACATACCAGATCTTAACATGGATCACTTAGGATAAGGCAGAACATGAGAAAGTTTGAGAAAATTGTGGGGAGAGGGTATGGAGGGCACCCAAAAAGTACATAATACCTTTCAAATTATATAACACCTATCAATTAACAGATATTTACTATGTACCATGTACTCTGTACCTTGCTAGATGACAGGGATACAATAGTAAACAAGATAGTTACTATCTTTATGTGAGGTTACAAACAGCATAAAAGTGACACTAGCCAACGTTAGAGGATTACTCAGAGTACCTATGACAGGTATCTAAACCAGGAATAAGGGGTCAGGAAAGAATTCCATGACAGCATAACAATGCTGAATTTGCTGTGTCACTTCTAAAAAGTATGTTCATTAAGTGTGGATGACTTTGTAATGTTTTGAGCAACTGATAAAAAAATTTTTTAAAAAAAAGTGTGGATGACTTTTCATACGATGCAAGTCAGACCTTTGTACGAGTGATACTTAAAGTATTACTTCATTGAAGTCAACATAATGTACAATAATTTGAAATCCCCACTTTCCTAAGGACCTTATTATACTGAGAAACGAACCAATACAGACTTTCAGAAAACACTAAACTCAGAAAACTAAGTTCACCTGAAATTACCAGTGCTCGCAACAGTTTTTTGCCTGGTTTGTCTAATAGATTATTTCACTAGTATAAAACCTGAAGGCACTTCAAATCCAACATGTATAAAACCCCACCATCCAATTTCGCCCTGAGTCTGTCCCTCCTCCATGTTTCCACTCTTAAGATGAACGGGATCACCACCGAGTCAAGCATTTTGGTCTGAAACTTGGGTATTTCTTAAACATTCCATATCTTTTGCACCTTTCAAATTCAAATTAAGCTTTTTCCATCCTCCTTAATTATCTCTCAAATCTCCCTTTTCATATAACCTCACTGCTGAATAATGTCTCCCCAGGCTTACATTAACAGTCATTTAATCAGGCTCCTTGTCTCCAGTCTTAACCCTTCCAAATCCAACCTTCACACTGCACCTCTGATGATCTTGCTAAATAAAAGGCCATAATAAAATTATGTCATTCATTTACTTATAATTCTGTCCATATGAAATTCTAAAATGCCAAACTCTAAGCCACTTTGCTACACTGCCATATATATGTGTGTGTATAAGCATATATATGTATATGCTCAATCGTGCCACATTACCTAGTATTTTTCCAATTAAATCAAACAAATATTACAAATATATCTACTATTAAACATAAACTGTACTTATAGGTAATCTTCTGAGTGCTACCAGAGATATAAAGGACTAGATGGGCTACATCGTCATGGATTTTGTTCTATAATAATTTAACAGGAACCTAGCTCTTCTCAAGTACTCAGCAGCTCTAAATTGATCTGCGAGAGCCATCTAGTGTCAATCCTGTTTAATTGCAATCTGCACAATTACAATATAAATAAAACCACATTTTATGCTATTTGAAATAAACTTATTTGAAAGAATATAAAGCATCTTATTCCATCTTCTTTTCTCAGCGAGCTCTCTCTTTCCTTGCATATGCACAAAATGAGAACTAATGCCAATTTTTACATTTATTCCCATGGAAAATTCAGTCTTAACTTTCAATTCTGAATAATATAAGATGTTCACTCAATATAAAACTAACACTATAAATTCTCTATACCTGTGGGGTTTTTTTTTGTATTGGTTGTTCAAAACATTACAAAGCTCTTGACATAGCATATTTCATACATTAAATTCAAGTTGGTTATGAACTCCCAATTTTACCCCAAATACAGATTGCAGAATCACATCGGTTACACATCCACATTTTTACATAATGCCCTATTAGTAACTGTTGTATTCTGCTACCTTTCCTATCCTCTACTATCCCCCCTCCCCTCCCCTCCCATCTTCTCTCTCTACCCCATCTACTGTAATTCATTTCTCTCCTTGTTTATTTTCCCATTCCCCTCACAACCTCTTATATGTAATTTTTATACCTGTGTTTTTATAACCTCAGCCATTTCCTTTTCTGATTTCTGGAAAATCTGCATAGCAAAAGACATTTCTTTTTGCTTATGAGAATGCAGCAATAGGCATAGAAAAAAAAGTAATAAGAATATAGTCAAGCCTCATTTGCAAATTTACTCACTAAAATTTATTTGTATCTCCAAGATTAATATTCATAGTACCTATGGTGGTCATTTATGGACATGTGCAGGAGGAAAATCACACAGCACGCACTCACCCAGATGAAAGTGAACAGAGATTTTGCATTCTTATTTCATCTTTTATACTATAAACAAGTGACTTTGTGTGTGTCTGTGTGTGTGTGTGTGTGTGTGTGTGTGTACAATTTTTCTGCTTAAAATGGTCGCCTGGCCATTTTAAAAATACTAAAATACTGTCTAGTGTTCCTCAGCATAAAAAGGCTCTGATCCGCTTTGTGGAAAAAATACATGTGCTAGATAAGCATGCTTCGAGCATGAGTTATAATGCTGTTGGTTGTGAGTTCGATATTAGTCAATCAGCAATATATATTAGAACTGGGAATATAATTCAGTGGTAAAGTGCTTGCCTAGTATCAGGAGTATTTTTTTGTAGTACTGGGTTCAATACCCAGTACTACAGAAAAAAAAAAAAAAGACACCCCTCTATATATTTAAGTACATATGTATACACACACACACACACACACACACACATACATTAAATAAGATGGCTTCATAGAGAAACCAGATTATATACTGATCAACTGACAATGTTGTGGTGAGAGGTTTACAGGAATCTAAGCCTAAATTTCTCCTAGGAGAATATTCACTATCTGATAGTAATGTTCGTGGCTACTATAGAATATAACTACCACAGATAATGAGAATTAACTCTCTATGCTAGTGATCAATATTCTATTTTAATATATCATGAGCTTTGTAAAGTTTTGAACAACCAATAAAAAAAAATATTCTATTTTAGCCTTATTTCCAAAGTGTTAAAGCAGAAAGTGTTAAAGCTGATCCTGTGTACACTGACTCCTGATCTGAAAATCGCAGTTAATTTTTGCAGTATTATCTAATTGAACCTGTCCTAAGTGATATGTATTATGTCAGTTTTGATGGGCTAGTTATATTTTTCTAGTATATATTAAAATAAATGCATAATTTAAATGCACATATATTACCAAAATTAACTCATGTGCCACCCAACAGTGCATGTACCAACACTGATACATGAATCACATTTGGGAAAACCTTGCTCTATATCCCATAGAAAAGTTATTACCTTTAACAAAAAAAATTTTCAAGGCTTCATCTGAAAATAATTATACTTTTCTCAATTCAGATTTTTGGAACAGTTCTATAGATTATAATACAAAACAGAATATAGCATTCAGCATGGAAAGAGTTCAAAGAAAATTGAATAGGATAGAAACTGAATATTTTATTAGATGATCCAACAAGAAACAACATTTTGCTATATACCTGAAACTGTGTCAAATTGCTGAAAAAATGGCTTTGGATCACATGGCTGATCCACAGACTCTGCGTTAGCAACAGGCTGTTGCATAAACAGAGACTGTCCCTTCAGGACCTTTTCTGCTGCTGCTGTCAGCTTGGGCCTTTGTCCTTCACTGAGTTCACCGACACTGTGTTCCAAGTCCTTCAAAAGAAACAACTGTTAAAACCATAATATTAAAATCAAATCAAAACAGCAAATATCTGATAAATATCATGATCCATACTACTCACTTGCTTGGAAGGTACATTAGAAAATGATTCCTATGCCACATATACATTACATGGAAAATAAATTTTAAAAGGTAGTTTAGTAAAACATACAGTAGTAGGCTTTGTTTTGAATACCTTATTTTATACACACACACACACACACACACATATATTAGTTGTAGATGGACACAATACCTTTATTTTATTTGTTTTTCATTTTTATGTGGTGCTGGGGATCAAACCCAGTGCCTCATGCATGCTAGGCAAGCATTCTACCACAGGCAAAAACCTCAGCTCCTGAATACCTTATTTTTTCTAAATATTTATTTTAGTTGTAGTTGGACATAATATCTTTATTTTATTTATTTTTATGTGGGTGCTGAGAACTGAACCCAGCGCCTCACACATGCTAGGCAAGTACTCTACGGCTCAGCCATGACCCCAGCCCTGAATACCTTGTTTTATAAGGTTAATCATTATGTTTTTCAACTTATAATTAAATAGCAATAAAATATAAGAAAAATTCTATTATAATTTAAAACAATAAGTACTGCCACACATTGTACATTGTTCATACAACTTAACATTTGAACCATAGAAAATATCTCTCTCATTCTTCATAAAACAGAATTCTCTAAAGCTGTTAGTGTGAACTTTATAATTAAACAACTAATGAGGAAAACAATATCTTTTAAGTAGTATATAGATTATCTATATATAAATAATTATGGGTTTTGTAAGTACACAGATTTAAGACTATTTAAACCATATTTAATAAAGTTCTTTGCCCTATGAAAGTACGAAAATAAAAAAAGTACAAATGTGAAGCCAGTTGTGGTGGCACACACCTGTAATCCTAGTGACTCAGGAGGCTGAGGCAAGAAAATTGCAAGTTCAAACCCAGTCTCAGCCACTTAGTGAAGCCCTAAGCAACTTAGTGAGACCCTGTCACTAATAAAATATAAAAAAGGAAGGGCTGGGGACGTGGCTTGGTGGTTAAGCAAGTTCAATCCCTGGTACCCAAAAACAAACAAATAAAAAAAGTTTACTTCATATATATGACATATATATTTACTTCATATATATGACACGCTTGTCATATATATGAAGTAAATGGAAAGCTAAAAAAGATTGATGTATTTTTTCCGTATTAAAAGTTATATATCATATTCTGTATTAAAAATTAATACACTAGTACATTTTGTAACTTACAGATAATCTAATGAATTTAATAATCAAGAATAGAATAGGAATTCCAGCATCAAAATGCTCCCAGGATTCTCTTTCTTGCTTTTTTTTTGGTGTGTGTGTGTGGTGCTAAGAATGAAACCCAGGGTCTCACCCAAGCTAGGCAAATGGCAAGCACTCTACTACTGAACTATATCCCCAAATGCATGTTTCTTATTTTAAAGGGGCTTAATTTCAACCAACATCTTTGATGATTCTATTGACTATGAAATAAAATCTAAACCTATAAATTTAACATTCAGATTCTCTACAATTTTCCGAAATTTTATTCAAAACATCTGTATATCCTCCATTCCCTTAACCTGACTCCTCTTTAGGAATACTAAGTGCCTCAACATCCTTTAAGTTGAAAAATATTAATTTGTGAGGAATATATCCCTTGGAGACTCTTGGGCAATATTTGGAATAATGGCAGACATTTTCTTCAGAAACTAATTAGAAATATTTCACAGTAGCCATGTTACTGCTTAAAGGTAAAGGTCATGCACCATTCATCTTTATCTATTTCAAGGCTATGTGTGGCATATAGTAGATGCTCAGTAAAGGTCACAGAATGAAGGAGTGATACATAAATCATTTTAAAGAGCTTCAGTTTTTTCAACTATAGAACAAAAGGAGTAGAAAAGATGTTCTAAATTCTCTCCAGTTATAAAATCCTATGTTCTATGACTTTAGGTTAAAGTTCCTATAACACTAACTTTTGAATAACTGAAATATTAACATGCCTTAATTAAAAGTGGGAATATTTTTATTTTTTCCCGATTTGTAGCTAACCAAGAAATAATTAAGATTAGATAATACCTCTGAGTGATAGACTGATTGCTGTGAAACTAATAATTCTTGATTTTGTTTAGTAAGGAGAGAAAGAATTGCATCTGCATGAAGCTTTTTATGGGGCATTCTAATCACCTGTCCTTCACTGGGAGGATCATCTTCCTGAAAGAAACATAAACACAATTAACACATCAAAAAACTTTATCAAACTGCATTTTTCTCAATTATGAATAACAAAAACTTAGCTATCAAATTACATCAATACTTTTTGGAAAAGAAGATAAACTCTTTATTTTCATTTAATTCTTTTTTAAAAAATATTTTTTGGGGGCTAGGTTGTGGCTCTGTGGTACAGCACTGCCTAGTATGTGTAAAGGCACTGGGTTCGATTCTCAGCACCACATATAAACAAATAAAGATCCATCAATAACTAATAAAAATATTTTTTAAAATGATGGACACAATACCTTTATTTTATTAATTTATTTTTATGTGGTACTGAGATTTGAACCCAATGCCTCACAGTGCTAGGCAAGCACTCTACTATTGAGCCACAACCCCAGCCCCTCATTTAATTCTTATTTCCACCTGACTACAATAAAACACGTTTGCTTCAAACAAACAACACTATAATTTGGTAACAAACTGGAGACTTATTGTAAAAACATGAAAATCGGACCTCTGTGTCAAAACCACAAGGATTCACAATGTCTTATATATGTTTGCTCACGTGGTTTCCTGCTTCACCTTTATTCAGTGCACAAAGCAATGCCCCACTGAGGCAATGAGGACAAAGCACTGGAGTAATGCTGCAACTTAGACCTAAGGCAAAAATGGAAAATTGCAGAACATGCAACAGAATTCAGAGACCTTCAATGTCCTTTTGCCTTTGTGCCGACATCTGCCTCAGCTAGAGAGCAGGTATTGAAACCCGCACTGACATCCTGCCTTTGATACTTCACTGTACTTCAAAGCAGACCTGTTCCCAAATGAGGGACAGGTGGGCCTCAGATTCAGACAAACTGGATTCCCTCATAAATACAGGTATAAATCTCTGATTTTACATTCATTAAAAGTCATTTATTTAGTTCCTTTTAGTGAAATGAAGTTAATTCTGGATTATAAATGCATATCTTCCAGTTTTATATGGATAAATGTCTAATGGTACATGACTTCAAATTATTCTGGATTTTTCCAGATTATTCCTTTGCATTTGATTTTATTATGAATTTGTAGCATATCATTTCGGTATAGTAAAAATATCAAAATTAGAAATCAGTTTCAAATGTAGAAGAAGAAAGAAGTTACAATTTAGTCCTGGTTCAGTTAACTATTTACTTTATAGAACTTTAAATATACATTGGCTAAGAATGGATAAAAATGCTATAATGGCATATTAGTAGGCCAGATAAAGCTCCTCAGAAAATAAAGATATCTCATTTATGCCTTCTTCCTGTATTGTTTTATAAAAGTGATTACACTGTCTCTACAATGGACTCAATTACTTGTATTAAATAGTCACTCCTAGCTGGGTGCAGGGGCACACACCTGTAATCTCAGCAACTCAAGAAGCTGAGGAAGGAGGACTCAAAAGTTTGAGGCCAGGGGCTAGGGTTGTAGATCAGTGGTAGAGTGCCTGCCTCACACATGTGAGGCACGGGGTTCTATTCTCAGCACCACATAAAAATAAATAAATAAAATAAAGATATTGTGTCTATCTACAACTAAAAAAAAAAAAAGTTTAAGGTCAGACTCAGAAACATAGTGAGATCATTTCTCAAAATCAAAAATTTTAAAGAAAGGGGCTGGGGTTGTGGCTCAAGTGGTGGTGCGCTCGCCTGGCATGCGTGGGGCACTGGGTTCAATTCTCAGCACCACATAAAAATAAAATAAAGATATTGTATCCACCTAAAACTAAAAAATAAACATTAAAAAAATAAAAATAAAAATAAAGGCTGGGGAAGTTGCTCAGTGCGTAGAGCACCCTTGGGTTCAATCCCCAGAACTGCCCACCCCAATCATTCCTAAAAAAATAATTTTCAAATAAAATCCTTTTTTTGTGTGTGATACTGAGGATTGAACACAGGGCCTTGTGCTTGCAAGGCACGCAGTCTACCAACTGAGATATACCCCCAGATCTCAAATAAAATCTTATCAAAAATTTTCTTAATTATTTCCTTACTCCTTTGTGAAATTATATCTTGTAAACACATCAGTAATAATAACAATGCTTAGCAAAAAATATGGTAAATATAATTACCTTTCTTTGCTTAGGTGATTTGAAAATACATAAAAAGTAATTATTTCCATTTTTAACAGTTTCTTCAAAAAGAAAATTTCCAATATTATTTCGTATTTATATATTTTATTTATGTAAAAATATATAAATAATCCCTTTACCAAGGCATTGTTTAAACAGACTACAATACTTTAAAAAATGACATAGGGACTGGGCATGGTGGTGCATGCCTGTAATCCCAGTGGCTTGGGAGGCTAAGGCGAGAGGATTTCGGGTTCAAAGTCAGCCTCAGCAAAATCAACTAAGCAACTCAGTGAGACTCTGTCTCTAAATAAAATACAAAATAGGGCTGGGGATGTGGCTCAGTGATCAAATGCCCCTAAATTCTATCCCCAGTACCCCTTCCCCCCAAAAAGACATAGACCTGTGTGTGTGTGTGTATGTGTGTGTGTGTGTACGCTATGACTGTTTTTTGTTGTTGTTGTTTTGGGTTTTTTTGGTACCAGGGACTGAACTCAGGGGCCCTTGACCACAGAGCCACATCCCAGCCCTATTTTTTTAGTTTAGAGACAGGGTCTCACTGAGTTGCTTAGTGCCTCACAGTTGCTAAAGCTGGCTTTGAGCTTGCAATTCTGTCTCAGCCTCTCAAGCCACTGGGATTACAGGCGTGCACCACCACGCCCAGCATCTATTATGACATTTTAAAATGTTAATTTTTCCTTTTTTAGAGCTAGATAATGACTAGGAAGAATTAGTATCCCTAGATCCTATTTTAGTTTTTCTTTTTGTGTCATTAAATTTACATATTTGTCAGCACAAATAATTATAATCACGATTAAGGAAAAAACAAATGTATTATAAGAGAGTTGATTGAAATAGGTAAGATTTTTCAGAAAATATTATAAATATTGTAAAGACAACACATCTAGGTGACACTTTGCATTGAGATAGATTTTATTACCTAATTATATTAACTGTATATTTTTTAACTACTGGGGCCACAGAGGTTAAAAACAACTTTTCATTCTCACAATTATGATAATGTTACATAATAAAATGTACAAAAACCCTACATTCCTTCATGGATAAGATTTTACTAAATTGTGTGCCTATAACTCAAATAATTGAGAAAAAATCTAATCAGTTGCAACAAGTTCATCAAGATATTCTTCCTGTCAGAATTCAATGTTATAAACATTCCTTACCATTTCAAGAGCATCTTGCAAAGTGCTAGATAAGCTATCATTTAGGTGTGTCAGATATATTTCTCCAGCTCCTAAAACTAGAAATTAAGATGTAACAGGTTAGAAAAAAGAAGACATGAACATCAGTTTTTTAAACAATGCAATTGAAAACAAAGATAAGATTGCTGTTTCACCTGCAAGTTTGTCAGAAATTTAACAGAACTGTTAAGTAGCACTACAGATATGAAATTGAGAAATAGACTCTCCTATATATTAGTATAATTAAAAGCTGATTAAAATTAAAGTAGATTAATTTTTCCAGAGATGAATCTTTTTGTGTTGTTGATGTATTACTATTTTAAAGGTATCTACCCTGACTCAGCAATTCCATTTCTAGTCATGTAATCTATGGAAATTATTACATTAGTGCACAAAGAAACACAAACACACACATTAAGGATGGTCATTAAAGAGTTGTGCACAGTCTGGAAACATTGAAAACAATTTAAGTGCACTCCACTAAGACACAATTTAAATAGACTGAACAACCACTTAAAAAACTGACAGAGACCTATGTGTGTTGATACTGTAAAATGCCTACAGTGTATCATTATTAAGTTAAAAATTCAGGTTTCAGAATAATATGCATAGTTTCATCCCATTTTAAAGGTAAATGCACATACACATGTATGTATTTAGGTGTCTATATATGCACAAACAAAAGTATACTGGAAGGATATTAGTTCTAGAGAGTAAGATTATAAGGAAGTTTTATTTTCTAAAATTAAAATCCAGAAGTTACTTATATAGAGAAACTATTCTTTCTAGTATACTATGCTAAATATTGAAAATTAAGTAAAAACACTTTAAAAAGCAAAGTTTTACTAAGGGACTTATCACAATCTACCAATGAAATCATTTAATACAGGAACTTACTCTTGGGAGCCAATTTTTGACCACAGCTAAATAAAACCTCTCCTTCAGAGATGGGTCTATCTAAAGTTTCTGTTTCAGTGACAGTAATGCTCAAAGTGCTCTCCAGTGTTGAGGAACCAGAACTTGGCATCTGTAAGGGAGAAGGAGCCTTGGTGCCTGCAGGAAATGGTGTAAGGGGAACTGGCTCTGGAGGCGCAGGCTGGGCAGGGAAATCCATACTCTCAGGTTCTTCATCTTTAGCTACAGACATTACACTAAGAAGATAAGGACATATTTTGAATTTATTAGGTCACTGAAGGCCTATATTCATTTTTATATAAAAAACAGATTCAAAGGTGCTGTGTCTCCTTTAGCATAGTATTTCTATAAACTATACTTTTATAATTAATAAGATTCATTCTTCTAAAATTGTTTTTATGCTTTAGTCATTGGCCATCTTGAAACCCCTTCTAGTCAAAAAACAAATCTACATGGGATAAATAACAACATAAGTTAAGTGATCATAGTAAATGATGGTCCATACTAGAGAGAAATCATTTTCTATTTTATTATCAGACAGATACTTTTATTAAAGTCTGTTTCCAACACTTTAAAAAAGAGGTGAAGATATAAGTAAATTTATAATTTTAAAAACTTAAAACTTATAAAACATCTTCCAAGTATAACGAGGTTTATAAAGCTCTTCATCACCTCTATGTTTCACTGGGTCATACAAGTGAAACGTAAGTGGGAGTATACAGTTACTAAGAATGAATCCAGTCAGCCCTCCATATCCACAGGTTCCATGTCCAGGAGTCACCCAACCACAGACTGAAAATATTTTTTCAAAATATTTGAGTCTGTACTTTTTTGTGTGTGTCATTATTCCCTAAACAATACATTATAACAACATGGTACAAAGCATTTTCAATGAATTAGGTAATAATCTAGAGATGATGTAAAATGTATGTAGATTATACGTAAATACCTTGCTATTTCATATAAGGGACTTGAATATGTGTGAATTTTGGCATGAGGAGACGGGACCTAGAAATAGTCCCCAGTCCCCCTCCAATACAGAGAGATGACTATAAATTCTTACTTACATAGCCCTTGGGTGAACAAATCCTTCTAATAGAGAGTTAGGATTCTCCTCATCCAGTGGCAGGTCTCCATCCCCCCATGGCTTGGGAAGCTCTGGGCTTGATATCTTCAATTTATCAATGGAAATCTCTGACAAAGTTGGGGTAAGAGCAGCTGCAGCTGCTGGAGGAGGCGAAGGAGCAGGGGTAATTGCTGGAGTATTCACAAGTGTCATGGCAGGCATATCATGTCCTAAAGAGTTTTTTTTTTTTTTAAAAAAAAAAGAAAGAAAGAAAAAGTTAAGTCAGTCAACAACTCCCATAAGACAATACGTTGCTTCAAATACCTTAACATTTTGGGATACAAATAGTGGCAATAGTAAAAACAATGAGGATGGTGGTGACCATTAGCAAAAGAATTCCTAAATTAATAAAGTATAAAAAAAAACTAGAAAAAAATGGCACTTTTAACACTACCATATACTTAAAATAGTCAAAGTGTCTATTTCTTTATATACTTTAAGAAATGGTAATTCAGGCTAGGATTGTGGCTCAGAGGTAGAGCGCTTGCCTAGCATGGGTGGGACCCGGGTTCGATTCTCAGCACCACATAAAAATAAAGGCATTGTGTTGTGTCCATCTACACCTAAAAAAAGTAGTATTTTGGGGCTGGGACTATAGCTTAGTGGTAGAGCGCTTGCCTAGCATGTGTGAGGCCCTGGGTTCGATTCTCAGCACTGCATATAAATGAGTAAAACAAAGGTCCATCAACAACTAAAAAAATATATATATATATATATATATATATATATATATATATATTTTTTTTTTTTTTTTTTAATTTAAAGAGGTGGTACTTTGGTTTGAATGTTTGTTCATGTGTTAGAAACTTAATCCACAAATTGATGTGGATATTTTGGAGTAGGCTAATTAGGGTTAGATGAAGATACGAAGGGGGAGACACATGATGTAAAAACTATACTTTTATAATTAATAAGATTCATTCTTCTAAAATGGCTTTATAATAAGAAGAGAGACCAAGGCTCTCAGGCTCCTGCTTTTGCCATTGTGTAATGCCTTCTGTCAGTATGATACAGCAAGAAGACCTTACCAGCCAGGTGCATTGTCATATGCCTATAATCACAGCAGTTTGGGAGGCTGAGGCAGGAGGATTGCAAATTCAAAGCCAGCCTCAGCAATTTAGCAAGACCCTAAGCAACTTAGAAAAACCCTGTAACAAAATAAAAATTAAAGAAAAAAAGGGCTAGGGATATGGTTAGGTGCCCCTGGGTTCAATCCCAGATATAAAAAAAAAAGAGCAACCCTCACCAAATGCAGCATCTCAATTTTGGACTTCCCAAAATTTAAATTTTAAAAAAATAAATTTCTTTTTTTAATAAATTATCTACTCTGTAGTAATTTAATATAAAACAGACAAGTGGCAACCAATTCCTTAATTTTTCTTATATGATAAATGATTTACTAAAACTTGGTAAGCAACAAGTATGTATAAAGCATCTAATAAAACATCATGAAATTTTAATTGCTACTTGCTAAAATTAAAACTGAATTATAGAAATAAGGTTTCTACCTTTTTCAGGAAATACGTCTTTTACAGAAAAAGCCCCATCATGATCTGAATCACAGGGAGAAGAATCTGGAGTTTTCACTAACACCCGGTCCTTAGGAGGTGATGAAGGTGAGCGAGGAGGAGTAGGCTGTGGAGTAGCCACAGGGGTACACACTCTTGCCTAAAATAAAGTAGTACAACAAGACAAATGGTTTATAATCACCCAAGTACTGCAAGCTCGTTCATAGACTATATCGAATTTAAATGGGTGGGGGGGAAGGGGACGCAAAATAACAACAACAACAAAAAATAGGAGACTTAAATACCCTGGCTCTTAAGTATCTAGCTACCAGTATAAGGCTGGTCTACAGAAAGCCTCTACAATTGAAAAACCCTGCCTCTGAAACAGGCTTCCAAGAAAACTAAGGCACCCTATTTTAATGTAGAGATAAAGACTATCCATACAGTTGAAGATCAAAACCAACTATAAATTTGATGAGTAGGCCACGCAACAAAAAGGAAGCATTTTAACTGTCAAGATATCCAAAAAAAAAAAAAAAAAAAAAAACAAGCCCTTTCGCACAAAGAAACAGTATATAAAAAGGAACAGAAGGATTTAAAAAAGTGGGTGGGGAGAAATAATAATAGGGAGATAGAAATTACTAGGGGAATAAAAAGAGAACATTTTCATACTAATTTGTTGAATACATAATCAAATGGCTCAAAATTAAGGTAAAAAAGAATGACAGTGAAAATTAAGTCTCCTTCCTGTGTCCTTTTTACATAGTTCTATTCCTCAGAGTTATCAAATACTCTAGACTTAAGTCATTTCATATTTATTTATTTATTTATTTTATTGCCAATTCCAAGTTGTCAAAGCTGGTTATTGGGAAAAGTTTTCAATTAGCAATAATCATGCCTTGGATAAATCTCATTGGCTATGATACTACTGTTTTGCAAAGCTTCATTACATAGTCATATAAATTTATTTATGGAATAAAACTCCAGAAGTAGAGTTCTTGATTAAAGAGTTGTGTTTTTTATTTGAATAGTTATTTCACTAAATTTCCCTCTACAGAACTGTACATTTCATACTACCACCAGAAGGTACGAGAATGTCTATTTCCCCAAGGTTTGCCAAACAATAGCTTTATCAAACTTTTAGATTTTTGCCAATCTGATCAGTAAAATGGAACTTCAGTGATTTTTTTCCCTTATTATCAGTGAGGCTGACAGTCTTTTTACAAGAATATGGATGATTTATATTTCTTCAGTATTTGTGGACTCTTTGGTCATATTCTTTGCCCATTCTTAAAATAGATTATTTGTCTCTTTTCATTCTGAAAAACCTTTATAAATTAGGATTAGCCTCTATTCTGTGAGTTGCAAATTAATATACAATTTTAAAATGAAGCATATGAGAAATTCTATAATATTGCATCATAATAGGCATATTCTTATTCTTACTTTTTTTTTTTTTTTTTTTGGGTACCAGGGATTGAACTCAGGGGCACTTAACCACTAAGTCACATCTCCAGCACCTTTTTTATACTTTATTTTGAGACAGGATCTTGCTGAGTAGGTTAGGGCTTCACTAAGTTGTTGAGGCTGGCTTTGAACTCTCAATCCTCTTGCCTCAGCCTTCCAACTTGCTTGGATTACAGGCATGCACAATTACTCCTGGCCATAATTGGCATATTCTTAACTTTCATTTTAGAATGAACGAAATATATTATGCCTTTCCCCTTCTTGACTACATAAACATATAGCATAAAAATACTGCTTTCAAATATGATGTCATTGGCTACTTTATCATAATGACAAGATCTAAAGGTATTCTAGTGACATAATAATGGATAATGATGATGATAAACTATTTTTGACTATTCCAAGTTCTATATACTAGATTAAGCTCTTTGCATATATCATCTAATTTAATCTGCCACAAAACCTTATATGAGAACTAAGAACTCACAGTATGATGAAGGCATCAATCGCTTGCAAATTAAATCAAAATTAGATTAATTTTCATAAAAATCCCAATGGGATTTTTTAATGATGAAAGACTGGGGGTGAAGCCCAGTGGTACAGCACTTGCCTAGCATGCATGAGGCTCTGGGTTCAATACCCAGCACTGCAAGCTCCCCCCGTGACAGAGAAAGAGAGAGAGAGAGAGAGAGAGAGAGAGAGAGAGAGAGAGAGAGAGAGGTTGATTGATTGATTTGTTATGGCACTTAGATTAAGTGTGGGGCTGGGGATTAAGCCCAGTTGGCAGAATGCTTGCCTCAAATGCATAAGGCCACGGGTTCAATCCCCAGCACCACACACAAAGTTGGGTGTGGTGGTATGCACCTGTAGTCACCAGGCTGAGGCAAGAAGATGGTAGGTGTTTGAGAGTTTGAGGACAGCCTAGGCAATATAGTAGAACCCCATTTCAAAAGAAAAAAAAAATGCCAAAAAACTCTTTTTAACATATATTTGGACAAACATATTAAATGGGTCCAAGGGTTAAAAAAAAAATGGCAATTGTGAAGATAAAGAATAAATCATGTGGGAGGGCTTGCCTTACTAGATATTCAGTAAGCAGATTTTGGTTAAGTCACAGTCATTTAAACTCTATTCTATCTCTACTATACAGTAAGACTAAAGTATAGAGCTGAGGGGTCAAATCAGGTGTTATGAACTCCAAAGTCAATGCTTTTAAATTTTGTAACGTGCCTATTTACACATTGGGTTTTTTTTTCCTAAGTTTTTTTTTCATTGAATCACCCTCATGAAAGCATATAGACTAAAAACAAACCAAAGTAATTGCCATAGAGAAAACTACAACCCTGACCACATCAACACTGTGTTCACTACCAAGGAGTTAATAAAGCACAGATTTGGGCAAATTTATACCACACCAATCCCTAAAAACATCAAATTATAACTTTATGTTTATGTACCAAATCGATGTTGCACCCATATATCTTTGTAATCAAAAGGCTCAGAAGTGACTAAGAGTTTTAAGCAGCTGGTAATGACAAGTAAATTTTGGATATAATTTTATAATGCTAAAAAAGCTTAAAAATTCCAACTAACATAATAAGGCAAATATACTTTCTTTTAAAGATAAAAACATCACTTCACATAATAACCTAAAGCAAAATGGCCTTCCTTGGCTATATCTTGAATTTTTTTAAGACAGACATTTCTGGAACAACTGGAGAAATCTGAATACAGTCTCCATATTCTATATAACATAGCAATGTTAAAGTTGGGAGTTATAAGAATGGTATTTTATTTATGTAACATATGTTATTTATGTAATATTTATTTTATTGGTTCTTTTTAGTTACATATGACAGTAAAATCCATTTGATATAATTATGTAAGCATGGAATATATCTTATTCTAATAATTAGGACTCCAGTCTTGTGGATGTACATAATGGTGAGATTCACTGTGGTGTATTCATACATAAACATATGTAAGTTATGTCAGATTCATTCCATTGTCTTTCCTTTTCCTATCCCTCCTCCCTTCCCTTCATTCCCCTTGTCTAATTCACTGAAGTTCTATTCTTCCCCTCCCCCCCTTATTGTGGGTTAGCATCCACATATCAGAGAAAACAATCAACTTCTGGTTTGGGGAGACTGGCTTATTTCACTTAGCATCCATTTACTGGCAAATGTCATGAAGTCATTCGTCTTTATGGCTGAGTAACACTCCATTGTATATACACATCACATTTTCTTTATCCATTTGTTGAAGGGCACCTAGGTTGGCTCCATAGCTTAGCTATTGGGAATTGTGCTGTTATAAACATTGATGTGCCACTGTCACTGTAGTATGGTGATTTAAAATCCTTTGGATATATACCAAGGAGTGGGATAACAGGTTCAAATGGTGATTCCATTCCTAGTTTTTTGAGGAATCTCCATACTGCTCTCCAGAGTGGTTGCACCAATCTGCAGTGCCACCAATAATGTATGAATGTACCATTTCCCCCGATGCTCGCTGACATTTATTGTTACTTGTACTCTTGATAACTGCCATTCTGACTGGAGTGAAATGAAATCTCAGTGTAGTTTTAATTTGCATTTCTCTAATTGCTGGAGATGTTGGATATTTTTTCATATATTTGTTGACCATTCATATTTCTTCTTTTGAGAAGCATCCGTTTAGTTTCTTTGCCCATTTGTAATAAAGTACCTTATTTTTAGGTGATATTGCTGATGCATTTGAGGTAAAGTATCATGATGTCTAAAACTTTCAAATGTTTTTTATTTTATTTTTTTTTTCTTTTAAGAGAGAGGGAGAGAGGGAGGGGGAGAGAGAGAGAGAGAGAGAGAGAATTTTAATATTTATTTTTTAGTTATCGGGGGACACAACATCTTTGTTTGTATGTGGTGCTGAGGATCGAACCTGGGCCGCACGCATGCCAAGCGAGCACGCTACTGCTTGAACCTCATCCCCAGCCCCTCAAATGTTTTTTAAAGGATATAATTATGTAGAGTTATTTTTTAAGTGTGCCAAAATATTATCAATTGTGAAATATAGGTAAAGGGTTTATAAATGTCCATTGTATCATATTCTCAACTTTTTTCTAGATTTAAGTTTTCAAAATAAAATGCTAGGAAAAATATTACACTTTAGTCATAGCAACAAGAAATAAAATTTCTGCCATACACCATTATCTTATCTTATGCAGTTTAAAATTCATCTATTATTTAACCATTCTTTAATAATATATTAAAAAAAAAAAAACTCCACAGAACTCTTTTAATCATGAAAGCAGAGGCACTCCTACCAGAAAACATGTTTCCTTTGATAAAACATCACCAGAAACACTTGTAGCCACAGGATCTTGCTTCTTTGTTTCTCTGTCACCCAGCAAGACAGCAATGGTCTCAGCCAGAGCTTCATTCACAAAATGGCTAATCATGTCCGAATTCACAGGAACCCCTGCATCAACAAAGAGCTGGAGAGCACCATAGCTTGTTCCTTCCACTAAAAAAATAAAAAAAACTTTTGGAATAAGTGGCCAAGACACCATTTATAATCCAAAACTTAATTCCTAAAAGATTTTAGAGATGCATATATATTATGAGGAAGGGAGAAGAAGTAACGGTGAAAATACAAACACACCTACTTACCAGGAAAGAAAGCAAGACAATAACTTAATGAAAATCTTCTCTCAATAAACCAAGAAGGAAAGGAAAACATATAGGTGAAAACCTAGTTATACTCTTCCCTGCCACTGCAGAATTTAATGATAAAAAGGACTTGCATTCTTATTGAATGTCCTCATCTGAAAACAAACTAACATTTCCAATTTTGACCAAAGCAAAAGGATGTAATAAGTGTGAGGCGAATTTTCTTTCATCTAGTTTCAGATACACCAGTTATCAACATTACAGGCTGGGGCTCCTCAAAAGTCTATAGCAGTTTAGGTACTTATTAGATGTTCTGTAGATATATTAATTTTCCAATGGGTTTTACTTTTCATTTACATGAATGTATTCAAAATTAAGTAAAGCTTTTCGAGACTTTACTGACCATGAAGTGGTATTTCTAAACAGTATAAATACATGAACGATGATCTGTACAACCCAAAGGAGATGTGCTCTCTCCAAAGAGTATTCTTTTAGTAGTACAACAATGACAGCAATCTATGGGATTATTTACAGATGTCTTAGGATCACTTGCTGAGGGTAAAAAATAAAAATTTATAGTTTCCAAAAGCCAGGGCTATTTTTATATCAATAATCCAAAACTCATATTCAAAAAATCTCCCTTTTAATTTCTATAATCATTTGTTTGTTTGTTTGTTTGGCATGACCAAGAATCAGAATATCTATGTCATAAAGCCAAAAAAGTCCTCCTTAGACACTGGCAAAAAAAAAAAAAAAAACAAAAAAAAAAAATTTTATAAAAAAAAAGAGAACAGGATATAAATACCAAATTTGGAAATCTTAAAGATTTTCATCCAGAGGCTGAGGTTGTGGCTCAGTGGTAGAGTGCCTGCCTAGCATGTGTGAGGCACTGGGTTCGATCCTTAGCACCACATAAAATAATAAATAAAGGTATTGTGTCTATCTACAACTGAAAAAAGAAGAAGAAGAAAAGAAAAAAAAATTTATCCAGGGAAATATCAATTTTCTTGTAACTTTGTTGATCATTTTTTTTCTTTCTTTAAAAAAATTAAATGATAAGAGAAAATCCGGGATACAGCAGTGTGGGAGACAGATGCGAGCTTTATTAAACAGGAAGAAGTAACCAAATGCAACAATAAAGAGTATGGAACTGAGATGCAGGTTTTGGCTGAGTCCCTGGGGCTGAGGAAGAGCAAAGAAAAGAGAATGAAACAAACAATAACCCCAAGGCTTTGAAAATTGGGTGCTGGGAAAAATCTGTGTAATCATTAACAGAAATAGAGAACAAAGAACAAGTCTAGGTAGAAAAATTACATGTACTTTGGATATGCCAAATTTGGGATGCCAATGGAGCATCAAGTAGAATATCCATCAATAGGCAAAACTCTAAGTTTACAGCCTAAATGCATGGCTTAAGAGTCATCAAATGACACAGGACAATGAAAGAGGAAACTGGAAAAATAGAAAAGGGGCAAGGCACACAAACTACTCAAGTAGCAGAAAATAAATGATGAAATGAAGGTCTTAAAGCTGAAAAGATAACAATGGCATAAAGTTGTTATGTTAAAACCCAGGGAACATTTTAAGGATTAGAAGCAGGCAACAGTGTCCAGGCTAGAGCCATCTACTAGAATAAGGATTTGAAAGGGAGCAGCCTGTGAAAATTTTAAGAAATTTCTTAAAGGAGACTCCAGGAAACCAACCCATCAGGACTGAAGAAAAGGTGGACAATGAGAAAGTAAATGCAAACTCTAAGGATAGGATTTGGTCAGTTGAAGATCAGTCTATAAAAGGAGAACAGAAGGTTATTCTGAGACTGAAAAGAAGAAAGACAATACAGGTAATAATACATAGAAATGTAAAATTTAAAAAAGCAACAAAGTTGGAAAATACTTTGTTTCAAAACTTATCATTAAATTACAATAATCAAGTATGTGGTATTGGTAAAAGACATGTAGATTCATGAAAGTTCACAAGTGGATCTAGACATATAGCCAATTAATTTTCAATAAAGGTATTAAGGTAATTCAATAGCAAAAGGAAAAACTTTGCAACAAAGAGTGCTACAACTGCTCAGTGGTAGTGTTTGCCTAGCATACATGAGGCCCTGGGTTCCATTCTCAGCACAACAACAACAAAAAAAAAGCTGGGGATGTTGCTCAGTGGTAGACCACTTGCTTAGTATGCAAGAAGCCCTGTATTCACACCCCAGCCCCTGAGTAAAAAAAAATACTAAGGAACTAAATGTAATCTAAAACCATATACCTTCTAGAAGAAAACAAAAAAAACATCTTAATGATTTTTACTTAGGCAAAGATTTATTAAGTAGTATGTCCCCCAAAAGCCACAAACTACAAAAGAAATATTGATAAATTAGACTTCATCAAAATAAACCATTTGTCTTCAAAAGATAATGTTGAGAAAACAAAAAGGCAAGGTATAAATTATAAGGACATATTTGCAAAACACATAAACAATAATGAACTTGTATTTGGCTGGGTGTGGTGGCATATACCTATAATCCCACAACTCAAGAAGCTGAGAAAGTATTGCAAGTTCAAGGCTGGCCTCAGAAACTTTTTATTTTGAGACCTTGTCTTAAAATAAAAAGGACTGGAGATGTTGCTTGGTGGTAAAGCACCTCTGGATTCAATCCCCAGTACCAAAAACAAAAACAAATGGTTTGCATCTAGAATGAAAAACATTATAACCCAATAATATGTATAAAGGCACAAACCCCAATTTAAAAATGAGCAAAAGATTTAAAATAAGCCAGGTGCAATAGCATACACCTGTAATCTCAGGGACTCAGAAGGCTGAAGCAGGAGGATCACAAGTTCAAAGCCAGCCTCAACAATTTAGCAAGGCCTTAAGTAACTTAGCAAAACCCTGTCTCAAAATAAAATATTAAAAGAACTGGGAATGTGGCTTCAGTGGTTAAGCATTCCTGGGTCCAATCCCCAGTCAGTACCCACTCCCTGCAAAAAAAAAAAAGATTTGAAATAATATTTCACCAAAGTAAATATGAAGATGAAAATCTGTGAAACATCATTAATCATTATTAGTAATTATACTACTCAGTCACTAGTATAATTAGGGAAATGTAAATTTAAAAAAACACAATGACATATCTCCACATATGTACAATGGCTAAAATAAAAACACTGATATACCAGGTACTATTGAAATTGTGGAAGAATTAAAACTTTTGTACATTGCTGTTATAATACAAAATAGTATATCTGCTTTGGAAAATATTTAGCAGCTTCTTATATACATTTATTTAACATGTGACCAAGAAAATTAAAAAGTTGTCTACACAATATTTGTCAGCAAATATTCATAACAGCTTTATTTATAATAGCCCCAAATTAAAAACTATAAATATCAATCAACTGGTAAGTGTATTAACAAATTTTGGTATATCCATAGAGTATAATACTACTACATGAAATAGTATAAGTGGTACTGGAGATTGAATCTAAAGCATATTCAGCATAAGCCAAATAAAACAAGTCAGCAAACAAAAACCTATATACTGAATGATTTATATATATGAAAGTCCAGATAAGATAAAAATAGTGATATAAAGCAGCTCTGTAGTTGTTTGTGACCACCAGGCATAGGTGGGGGATAGAAATTTTCTGCAAAGTGGCATTAAGGATCTGGAAAGGTAGCACATTCTTGAAACTCCAGCTACTCAGGAGGCTGAAGCAGGAGGATCAAAAGTTTGGGCAATTCAGCAAGATCCTGTCTCAAAATAAAATTTTTAAAAATTGACCGGTGATGTAACTCAGTGATTAAACATCCCCAGCTTGAATTCTCAGCATCAGGAAGGTGAAGCAGGAGGCAGCAGCATTAAGGGAACTTTGGAAGATGTCAAAAAGGCCTTTCTACAGCATGACTGTGTGACTAATGCACAGGTGCATACTGTGTGACTAATGCACAGCTGCATACATGTGTCAACACCTATCTAATTGTACACTGAGAATTGTTGAAATTTAAGGCTTTCAAAAAAACTGATAGACAAACAATAGGAGAGGAAGGGAAATAGAGAAGAGAAAGAGGAAGAGAAGAAAAATATGGAAGAGGAAAAGGAGGAGAAGAAGGAGGTTAAGAAGGAGAAGAATGGTATGGGATTCCTCACAGAAAGAGGCTCATTAAACCATTCAGTGAATACTTAAAACTCTTTTTTAGGTGTTAATCAAGGGTTAGGAGAAATAACTTAAATCCTGAGTAATTTACAGTCTAGTGAATGAGAAAGATAAGTAAAACAACCATAATATAATCTATTAAATACTGTAATAAAAAATATATAAAGTACTCTGGGAGAATAACAGAGTTTGGGGGTGCAAGGAAAGGGGTAGTTTAATAATCTGAGTGCTGCAATATGAAATAAGGGAATGAGGGAGAACTGACCTCCTCTAGAGTACTAGAGAGGAACTAAGAAGTAAGATCTGAAATAAGACCTCATCTTTTTTGGGGGGTTGTGGATGGAGCTCAGTTGTTAAGTGCTTACCTAGCATGCCTAAGACCCTGGGTTTGATACTCAGTACCACAAAAAACCACCACCAACAACAACAAAATCTTAGCTTTTGTCAGCCAAATGACCTCTGGGATATATAAATCATAATGAACTAAAAGATTCTGTCTTTAATAATAACAACAAAAAATTCCATTTCACTTACCAATGTCAGAGGTCATTGGTTCACTTGCCTCACTGAATGAAACACTGGCATTAAGTCTGGCCTGCTGCTGGATTGGATAGAGCTCAGAGATAATCCTTGACATTATTTCTTGTTCTACCCTGGAAGGTGGGGAGATACAAATTAATGATTTCTAAATTTGATTGAAATATATAAAATGTTACACATATCAACCTTAAAAATAACATTTACCTAGGGGCACAAATATTATATGTAAAAGCAGTCATTTGAAAGTTACACCTGAAAGAAGAAAAAAATGTGCCTTCAAACAAGATAAAACACATGAAACAGAATCTCCTTGTGGGAGAGTATTCAGATAGTCAAAGAAATCAAATTAAAATCTTCCATGTTAGCCAGGCATGGTGGCCCATGCCAGCAGTCCAAGAGGCTCAAACAGGAGGATTGCAAGTTCAAAGACAACCCCAGCAACTTAGCAAGGCCCCAAGCAACTTAGAGAGACCCTGTCCGAAAATAAAAAAATAAAAAAGGCTAACAGAACCCCTAAATTGAAGATTTGCCTAATGATTGTTGAGCACATTGCATACCTAGGTTTGATTTCCACTCTAAGAATACACATATAAAACTGTATCAGATCAAAACTAGAGAAAAATATCCATCTGCCCTTTCCACTGACTGTAATGAAGAGTAGTTTTCCTCTTAAAAAGGAAAGAAAAGGTTTTTTCCAAAGTCATTTTCGAAAGAAGAAGAAGGGAAAGGAAAGGGGAAAAGAATAGAAAACCTCTGTTAGTACATTTCTTTAGAGTAGCTAACAAACTTCTTAGAAAATGTTATTAAGACAGGTACGGTGGCTCACGCCTGAACCCCAGCTGCTCAGTAGGCTGAAACAGGAGAATCGCAAGTTCAAAGCCAGCCTCAGCAAAAGTGAGGCACTAAGCAACTTAGTGAGACCCTGTCTCTAAATAAAATACAAAATAGGGCTGGGGATGTGGCTTAGTGGTCGTGTGCCCCTGAGTTCAATCCCTGGTACCCTCCCCACAAAAAATTTATTATTATACAAATGACAGACATTTGTAGTAGAAAATATATAAAAGCTTTTAAAAATTTATAATGTTCACTTAATAATTCTAGATTCAGGAATAAACACAATTAACAATTTGGTATATACATTTTGAACTTCTGTTCTATGCACACTTATTTTTGAATAAGGTCTTATAAGCTGGGGTTCCATTGTAAGTATCATTTATACACCAGCAAACTATTAGTATCTTTCAATGTCCCTCCACAGTCTTCTAAACCTAAGGTTAATAACTCTATTAATATCCAGTTGCTTTATTTTACTCCATAAATTCCTTAAGGTTTTACACAATATAATAAGAATTCACTTCATATTTACATGTAATAACAGTATTACTAGTTACTGTTGTAAATATGTGATAAACTTAAAACAGTGACTTGTTTCTAATGCTAGGTGTTATATGGCCTGGTAGCAAATCCATAATTATTTCCTTAGGCTAAGTTTCTGAAAATGAGTCACTAGATAAAAGAACATGTACATTTTAAAGGTTTAATTACTCAGAAAAGCCTCTTGCCACAGCAAAAGTATAAATATTCAAGGACCAAAATAATACCTCCAACAGTTAGTTATGCCTTTAGCATTACATCAATTAGCAAAGGAAAAGTTTAATAAACAAAAAGAGACAAGGAAGATTTTTTGACTAAAATTTAATACTTCCCATTTATATTTGCTACTATCTATTCATACTGAAATCATTGTAAACGCACCACTGAATTAAGCTATTTTCCAATGTTTCTTTTCTCTCAATTACTTTATCCAGAATTTCAGTAGTGGGCTGAAAAGTAGAAACAACTGGTGGAAATGGAGGACCATTATACTTTGTAGAAGCAACTTGAACACTTCTGTTAAATTCTAGTAATGGTTCAGAGCTTTCTGGGATTTCATCACATTTTTCCTCTTCCTGGTAAGAATAAAAACAAAATTATCATGTTCACGTATCTGAATATGAACATTTACTGAGTGCCACGTATAGACAGGGAACTTACCTGGGTGCATTAACTCGCATTTCTAATGTGGGAGCACATTATTATAACATATCAATCATATGTATCACTTTGCAGAAAATTTATTACAAAATTATGTGTCTCTAAAACCCAATTTGGGGCGGGGGGGGGGGGAGACAAAGAAAAAGAAAAAACAAAATAAAAAAAACAATGTTCATTCCCTACAGTCAAAAAAAAAAAAACCTAGAAAACTTGATTATTACTGCATAAAACATTTAACAGTTCCTTGTAGAAATTTATATATTGAATTTATTGTCATAAAAAAAACTGATGCTTCCAATTATCACTGTTCCCTCTTGTAAAAATTACAATTTAAATATGCAGTTAGAGGACTGGGGTTGTAGCTCAGTGGTAAAACATTTGCCTTTCACAGGTGAGGATCTGGGTTTAATCCTCAGCACCACATAAAAATAAATAAATAAAGGTATTGTGTCCATCTACACTAAAAATATTTATAAATAAATAAACATGCAGTAAGATCACCTTATACATTATTCATATCATCATGATCAAAAGAGTTATTTCTGGAATTTTTAAACTGATTATGATGAAAAATGTCACACATCTTTAAAAAAATAAAATAGTTCCCACATATTATTTGTTATAAATAAATAATAAGAATCACATTTATCTATTCTCAGTTTCAACAGCTCTCAACTCATGGCCAACTCTGTGTAATCTAAACTAACCTCCCACCCGTTTCCCCCTTCACGTGTTATTTTGAAGCAACTACAGACATATGAAGTACACAGCTAATAAGTGGTAGAGAAAGGGCAGGAACCCTTGTCTTTGAACTCTAAATCCCTTGCTAGTTCTACTGTTTCTTTCATTAGGCATGAGGAATATGAAAATAAATAGGGTTCTTGTATCCAAAACACTTATATGGTGCTCAGATAAGAAAACATACCTGTGAGCAAAAAGCATTAATATAACACATACCTCTGCATATTTTAAAGTAGGCTTTCATTTTTTGATTAATAGCACTAGTCTCAGCTCTGAAAGAAATACAAAAAATATCTTCCCTAAAATCCAATGACATATAATATTCAAGTAGTTTCTTTGATCTATCATCCTTTTTTCCATCTTTTATATTTTACTTCCTCCTACTTTTTCCCTACTTCTGTTCCTTTATTTCTATAACTCTGCCTGCATATGGGATTTTCCCTCAAATTTTAAACTATTCACAACTTTTTTTTCTCAGTATAAACTATCAGGTGACCTTTTCGAAATCAAGAGATAAATGTCATAAAATGAAAAAAGGACTGGTTCAAAAGAGGGAAACCAAAAGCAATGGAAAGAAAAAAGAAAAGTAAAAAGCAAACAAGACAAGATGTAGGTTAGAAACAGCAGATAATCATAAAATTTCATGGAGGCAGAAAGGTACTACAGATAAAAACAACATTGTATTATGGAATAACAACTTGATAATTTTTTAAAAATAAAAGTGAACAACTTGAAGTAAAAGTAAAAGCTAGTTTCTCAAAGCACTGCAACATAATATTGATAGTCAAAAGATATTCAACCACTTGGAAAATACTGGTAGACATACAATTGTTCATGGTTTCTAACCTTTGTTACCTGTATAACATCGATTACTTCATCAAAGTTACTCCCTGGAAACTTCTCATCCTCTTCATCTACCTTCATAAATTGTGGAATCTAAGAAAGCATTTAAAGAAAGTTTTTGTTGTGTTCAATTTTTTAAATCTTATATGTAATTTATATTTCCACATGTAGCATAAATTTGCAATTACATGGCCCTGTTTTTTATTTTAATATTCTGTTATCAATTTATTCAATTAGAAAATGAAATCAAGCTAGTCCCAAACCATTAGGTCATCATTTCAAAGCAATAAAAAATTAAATATCAGTTTTAACATTTAAAGAACTCCATCAAGGAGCTGGGGTTGTAGCTCAGCTGTAGAGTGCTCACCTAGCATGTATGAGGCCCTGGGTTCAATCCTCAGCACCACATAAAAATAAATAATAAAATAAAGATATGTAAAAAAAAAAAAAAAAGGACTCCATCAACAAATGCTATTAAGTCAATTGATCAAAATGTTATGATTATGATTTCTCTCATAGTTTAGATAAAGAAGAATGTTTTATGTATGTAATTATACACAAACTCACAAAAAGATACAGAATCAAGTAATTTTTTTTTTACATAAACAGTCATTTCACAAATTTAGTTTCCAAGCCTTGCTATGCAAAGGCTAGTCACTAAAAACCGCAATAGCCTCTTGCTGAGAACAGAATGATAAACATTTCAAAAAGTTTTTTATTTGTCATATATGTTTCAATAAAATTCTTGTGAAAAAAATTACTAGTGAAAATTAAAAGTAGGTATAAATTTCATTTAGAGTCAGTTCTACTATTTGTAACTATGAGAGATCATTGGTTTTCCTCCTCTCTTTAAAACTACCCCCAAATGACCAAATTTGCTCACAACAGCAAGACTAAGATAAAACCAGGACCATCTACAGTGCTATTTTTCTGTGTAGTAAAGGCATAACTTAATTATTCAGAAGCAAATACATACTAGATTGCATATTTTTGTATCATGACAACATGATGACAATGTAACATCCTAAACTATGAACTCCAATTGTCACTAGATAATTCATATTAAGGAAATCTATAATTTCCTGTAAATCAAAGATTCTTTACCAAAGAGAAATTCTTTATTTATATGAGAGTCTCACAAGTTATCAAAAAGTTATAGTACGGATTATTACTTTCTGAATACTTACAAATGTAAGGATCTAGTAGACCAATGGTATAGAATAGAAGACACAGAGACTAACCATAAATATACAACTATCTTATATTAGATAAAGGTGCCAAAAGCATTCACTGGAGAAAGGATAGCATCTTCAACAAAGTGCTGGGAAAACTGGAAATCCATAAGCAACAAAATGAAACTGAATCCCTATCTCGCACCATGCAAAAAAGTTAACTCAAAATGGATCAAGGATCTAGGGATTAAACCAGAGACTCTGCGTCTAATAGAAGAAAAAGTAGGCCCTAATCTCCACCATGTGGGGCTAGGCCCCAACCTCCTTAATAAGACACCTATAGCACAAGAATTAAAACCAAGAATCAATAAATGGGATGGATTCAAATTAAAAAGTTTTTTTCTCAGCAAAAGAAATAATATGTGAAGTGAATAGGGAGCCTACATCCTGGGGACAAATTTTTACCCCTCACAGATCAGATAGAGCTCTAATCTCTAGGGTATATAAAGACCTCAACAAGACAAGCACCCAAAAAAACAAATAATCCAATCAATAAATGGGCCAAGGACCTGAACAGACACTTCTCAGAAGAGGATATATAATCAATCAACAAATATACGAAAAAATGCTCATCATCTCTAGCAATCAGAGAAATGCAAATTAAAACTATTCTAAGATACCATCTCACTCCAATAAGAGTGGCAGCCATTATGAAGACAAACAACAAGTGCTGGCGAGGATGCGGGGGTGTGGGGGGGTACACTCATACACTACTGGTGGGACTGCAAATTGGTGCAGCCAATTTGGAAAGCAGTATGGAGATTCCTTGGAAAACTGGGAATGGAATCACCATTTGACCCAGCTATTCCTCTTCTCATACTTACCCAAAGGACCTAAAAACAGCATATTACAGGGACACAGCCACATCAATGTTTATAGCAGCACAATTATTCACAATAGCTAAACTGTGGAGCCAAACTAAATGTCCTTCAGTGAATGGATAAAAAAAAAATGTGGCATTTATACACAATGGAATATTACTCAGCAATAAAAAAGAATAAGATCATGTCATTTGCAGGGAAATGGATGGCATTAGAGAAGATTATGCTAAGTGAAGTTAGCCAATCCCAAAAAAATAAATGCCGAATGTCTTCTCTGATATAAGGTGGGTATCTCAAAATGGGATTGGGAGGGAGAGCAAGGGAGGAAGATTACCTCTAGATAGGGAATAGGGGTGGGAGGGAAAGGGAGGGAGAAGGGGAATAGCATAGATAGTGAAAGGAGACCCTCATATACAAAATACATGTATGAAGATGTGAATTTGGTGTCAACATACCTTATATATAATCAGAGTTATGATAAATTATGATATAATGGTGTATTAAGAATTGTAATGCAAAAATAAATAAATAAATATTTTTTAAAAATGTTATAGTATGGATTATTACTTTCTGAATACTTACAAACGTAAGGATCTAAAATAAATTTTCTTTCAAGTTCATAAACAATTTGAGATTTATTCTGAATCTTTTCTTCAAAAAAATCTAATTATAATAGATTATGATTATGATAGAATGCTTTTGCATGGAATAAAACCTACACTCAGACATTACTCAAAACAGTGATAGAATTCTGAAATATACCTGAATCCAAGTCTGCAGCTGAGGAAGAGAGGCTTCTTTGGGACTTGACAGAGATGAACCACCATCAACACTACCATTTGAAATGCTGTCAATGTCTACACTGGGTAATACCTACAACAGAACACGACATCTAATTTTCCGCATCATTCTGACCCAAATATTCCTCAAAAAGCTAGATAGAAAAATGTGCCCTCTAAATTTTTATTGTAAAGTTAATGGCTAACAAACTTTTTAAATTATGAAAGCTTATTTTATAAAATATAAAAAGTAAAGGAGGAAACAGAAAATTCTATCTTAAACCAACTCCATTTCACTATATTCTTTGTCCTTTTATATTTACCTATTTTATATTTATCTATAGATTTATATATAGATATATCTGTTGAGAGTGTTGAGAGCCACAGCCGAAGGGGCCCCAGCAAACTTCCAGCTGCCAGCAAACTTCCAGCTGCCGGCTGATGATTGGCTCACAGCGGCCCCAGCAACATCTAGCTGATTGGCTCCTCTGCGGTGATGCTCATTGGGCTGTTTCCCTGCCCTTTCAGACCACGGAGCTGCTCATTGGGGGACTTTTTTGGCTCCGCCCACGTGACCCAGCCAATCGGCCTCAAGAGCAGGAGGATTGTGGGAGGTGGAGAGAAGCTTGTGTGGGAGAGAGAGGCTTGTGGAAAGCCGGTGGTGGCAGTTGAGGCTCTAAGGGTTTTTCCTGAGAGGCTGTTTTGTTTGGCGTGTGTGGTTCTAAAAATAAAGTTAGTTTCTTTTGACAAGTGGCTCCTGATTGTGCCCAGCCAGACTGCGGCATTTGGTGGCCCGTACGATTTATCTTATTCTTCTAACACTATTCTTACTAGGTATCCTGAGGCTGTAGGACAATTAATACTCAAAGGAATAAAAGCAGCAAAGGGAGTGTTTGGAATTTCTCCCAATTAAATTATTACTCCATATACTATGAATCAAGTTAGCTAATGAGTTAAATACTTGGGCAATAATCATGTGCAAATCTAATGTTTCATTTGATAACCACTTACCATCTAATCCTTTATTGTCTTTTTGGTCATTGCATCCTGTAATTTTTCCAAAAATGACAAGAAAAACACCTATCATGAATGCTCCAAATATATTCACTGATGGGTCAAATAATGGTACAGCAGCAGTAGTTACCCCTGATCAAACTTTTACATTTTTAGTACCCAAACAATCAGCTCAAAAGGTAGAGCTTAATGCAGTTTTACAAGCTTTTGTGATGTTTAAAGATTCTGTATTTAATTTATCTTCTGATAGTCAGTATGTAGTTAATGCTATAGTATCTCTTGAAGATGCTGGTAGGATTTCCCCTTCTTCTACTGTTTTCTCTTTGCTTTCCACTATACAAAGTCTAATCTGGGACAGAAAAGATCCATTCTTTATAGGACATATCAGGGCACATACAGGATTGCCTGGAGCCCTTAGTTTGGGCAATGATTTAGCAGATAAAACTACACATGACATACATATTTTCTCTACACTAGAAGAAGCTATACATTTTCATAAAAAGTTCCATGTCAATGCTAATACTTTACAAAAGCGTTTTAAAATAACTAAGGAACAAGCTAGACAAATAATAAAACAATGTCAAAATTGTGTGACCTTTTTACCACAAGTTAATCTTGGAGTCAATCCTAGAGGATTGATACCTAACCATATTTGGCAGATGGACGTCACACACTTGCCAGAATTTGGAAAATTAAAATATTTGCATGTTACAGTTGATACTTCTTCTGGATTTTTGATGGGCTCCCTTCATGCCGGAGAAAAAACTAAAGATGTTATAGCTCATTGCTTACAAAATTTTGCCACTGTGGGTATTCAAAAACAGTTAAAAACAGATAATGCCCCTGGTTATACTTCTACCTCTTTTAAACAATTTTGCTCAACATTTGGCATTACTCATATAACAGGAATCCCATACAATCCACAGGGACAAGGCATAGTTGAAAGAGCTCATCAAACTATTAAAATGTACTTATTAAAGCAAAAAGAAGGAATTGGGAAGGGGTATATATTCCCCAAAGATAAACTTAAAATAACCCTTTTTACTCTAAACTTTTTAAATTTGGATTCATCAGGACTTAGTGCTGCGGAAAGGCATATGTGTCCAAAAAATGTACATAAGCCCAAGGTACTTTGGAAGGATATTCTAACAGGACAATGGAAAGGTCCTGACCCAGTAATTGTCTGGAGTCGGGGGTCTGTTTGTGTGTTTCCACAGGGAGAACA